GCATGCGGCAAGGGGGGGGCCCGCCCCCCGGCGCGCAAGTGTCCCCGCCCTCTGGCGCCTGGCGGGCAAACGGCCACGCCCCCTGGCGCCCGACAACCTCAAAAGGTTGGGGACCACTGCTATATGGGAACGTTTGTGTATTTATGGCAATGCTTCTGCTGGTCATGGTCTTTTAGCAAAGTTTTTATCTTGGAACAAATTTAAGTTGATGGTGTCTCTAAGTTATATATCTGATACAAAAATGCATGTGGCCTGGAATCTAAATGGCAAAAACCTGCAGAAAGCAGGCTACTTGTCTATGTAAAGCTTGATAAAATTCCACTGAGCAGTCTGTACAATGCTTAGCACAACAGGCCCTGATCCTCAATGGCTGTTCTAAGCTCGACCACTGTACAAATAAAATTTTAAAGATAACATGCAGAATCAAGTTATCTAGTATCAACAGAATTTGCAAAGGCAAATATGATCACATTGGATAAATTAGCAAAATAAATCCAAATAAGGAAAAATTTCCTTCTGGTAAAGCAGAATCTATTTTTAGAGGCTATAAAGGAAGGGAACAGGAGGATGCACTCTTTGTGTGGGATCCAGGGTTTTGTGTTTGATGTTAACACAGAGCTATAGCAAAGCAAAACAAAAAGGGAAATGTGTTTGCATTATAAAAAACAAGGTCTTTGATGTTAATGTAGGAAATTATTAAACAAAAGGAAAACCTGGCTTGTCAATGCAGATCTAATTATATGTAAACATATGATTCACTGCTTTACACATCTGCCATATTACCAGGCCCCCCAAACAATGTCACTTCTGAATGCCTCAGTAAGGACTTCTGCGTATTAATTTCATCTGGTGAAACCAACACTTCCTCTGGGAGTACTGACTGAAGCTGTCGGCACTTGGCTATCTGTCTGTCTTCCCTTCTGCAGTCCCCATGGGATGTTGATCTGCTGTTTCTTCTCTGCCCCTTGCTCCACAGTCCTGATGCTATCAGGCAACAAAAATAATAAACCTCCAGGACCTTATCTTGGCTCGGATGTGAAACAACTTCCTACCGTTGTATTTCTTTGTGTACTGAGAGTAAAGCCTGGATATTCTACAAATGGACAGCTAATGGGGTTTTCTAGTTTCCCCTTTTTCCTGCCCAGGCAGAGCCAAGAGAAAGCTTAGCACGCAACAGCATTAAAAACAAAACAAAACAAAACAAAACAAAAACCCTCCCTTATCAATAGATTAGTTTGAGACACTGTGACAAAAACAGTTTATCAAATCTGCAGTATAAAATGTAGACTTTCAATTCCAATCTATCTTAACATGTATATAGATTTGTATTAATTGCTAAAAAATGCACTAAGTATGGTTTGTTAGTCATTCTGAAACTCCCTTCCACACCCAACCACGCTACCCAAGTGCAGTTATGAAAGCAGTAATAAAATATTTCAACCGAGGTTGAATTTTTATTGGCTGCCAGCCTTAGTAGCTCAAATTCACAAACTAGAATTACATTTAGTAATCTTACTTTAAATCAACTGTATTAGCATTTGGCTCACAAATTCTCTCACATGAAGCATGATTAAATCTAATCCCAAATTTAGGAAGCCTAATGTTTTCCCATCTATCTACAATATTAAAGCAACTGCTAACGTGTTCCTAATGTTAGGTACTAGAGCTAATTTTTGCTGATAAATTACTCTTAAATTCTCAAGGTTGTTTCAACTTTGTTTTAAAAGTACAGTTTTAGAAAAGTATCAGTTTACAACTTCTTCTCCAAACCCCACCAATCAAAGCAGAAATGGCCTCTCTTACAAGTCAGCACACATGCTTTTAATCTCACTTGCAAACACTGAAGATGATCACCATCTTAAAAACTCTGAAGAACAATAAGTCTATGAACGCATGTAGGGTATAAAGGTGGCTGTAGTTTTTTGTTTTGTTTTTTTTTTTAAATTCAGAACTGCAACCTATTATGCCACCCTGCTAGAAAAACATACAGAATCCTATTTCACTTTTTAAAATGGTTAATTGATTCTTGCCCATCATGACCCCACCAACCCTTTAATAATTGTGAATGAATCTAACAGTCTCACTTTAAACAAATATAGTAATCACATCTCCATGAAAAACAGATATTCCCTGGCCCTATTTCCCTGCTCTTTGTACACAAAATGTTTTAGGTAAGCCTTGGCAGAGAGGCTTCCTGAAGGAACTTGTCAGTCAACTGATCTAATGAAATCAATGGGTAATCTGCATATTCCCCTGTGGGACAAACTCTAAGACAGTCTACACTAAATGTTGTCACCAGGGCATGCCTGGGGTCTCCCAGTGAGCAGCCATAGAGTGACCTTTCCTCACTGCTGTGACCAATGAGCCTACATGAAGCCAAGCTACCTCAACTCCACAACTCAACAACTCCACCTCAGGCTTTGCTCCCACTTCCCTCAAGACGCTTTCCTCTCAAGCCTTCATGGCTGCCCTGACATCACTCCACCTTTCCCTGACCATTTCCTGCCTCTGCTCTTCCTCACCTCCTGAATGCTGCTGAATAGCTGTTTGTGGCAAGTGGGAGGTGATAAAAGGGAGAAGAAGGAGCAGATAGATGGGGCCACTGACATTTGGGGCTATTGGTGGGTGCAGAGCACCCACTATTTTTTTTAGCACTCACAGAGTCAGTGCCTAGGACACCATCATATGTTGACAGATCCTCCAATCACAGTCAGAAGCAACCATAATAATGGGCACAGGCAGGAAAAAACAACACAAGTCTGCCAGTAAGCCTAAAGCAAACAATTATTTACTGAAAATATCCTAGTGGTGATAAAGGGCATAGTTTATATTACCTCAGTAGGCTTTATTTCTTAGACAGATTCACACCACAGGCCACCAAAGCATTTCTGCAGAAAAGCAATCTTGTCTATCATGCTCACACTACACTATGTATATGAGTGCTAGAGGATTTTGAGGAGAGCTAGCAAGATTATTTTCTGGCATATACACCAAGTGTAATGGTATCTGCACAACCAAGACCCTCAACGTTCATCTGCTCTGGTCTCTTATTGTATTAACCCTCTACTCAACCACTGATGCCTTCCTTGATTCCTCATCTTGCATTTTCTTTCGGAATGTCTCTTTATGCCTGAACCACTCTTCCTGAACTGATTTTCAAGTCAACTACCCTTTCAAACCTCTCCAAGAAGCTTATAAGAAAGTAGCCAATAATGCCCAAGGAATGCAAAGGGCCAATAACTGAAATTTGAAAGGGGAGGAAAAAGCAAAAATCGCTGATCATGATTAAGATTTTCAAAAGCAACTAAATGATTTAAGAAAGCATCCTATAAGCACTTGTGTTTCAAAGTCAGTAAGGCTCTTTTGAAAATCTCCCCCATGGAGTTCTGTAAGTTTCTCAAACTCTGCGTGTGTGATTCAGCAAAGGCCACCGAAGGTCCTTGTCAGAGCTACTATTAGCCACTTGCTCATTTTGCTATAGTATAATTTCTTGAGAGATGGAATTGCCCCTCCATCTGAAGAAGATTATATTACAGGCAGTCCCCGGGTTATGTACAAGATAGGGACTGTAGGTTTGTTCTTAAGTTGAATCTGTATGTAAGTCGGAACTGGCATCCA